CCCTCAAATATGATGGTGAAATTAGGACATTTCCAGATAAGCAGAAATTAAGGGAATTTGTTAAAACCAGACCAACCTTACAAGAGATGCTAAAGGGAGCCCTCTGGACAGAGAAGAAACAGCCGCCAACAACAACTGACCACTAACACACATGATGACATAACCCAGAAACCAATCCAGCTATGGAAGTATCCAAAGTAAATAAGCCTACAAGATTGTAAACAGGGAACCTGAGACATCAACTGACAAATGAGAACAACTACAGACCAAAAAGAGGGAAAAAAACTGTGTCGTTACAGAACTTCTAGATGGTAGGAAAGTCAAGACAACTACAAGATAGAACAGACTGTTCTAAACTTGGGAAGAAAACTATAATCACAGGGTAACCTCAAAGAAAAATGATAAACCTTCAATCAAAATAAAAAAGAGGACCAGCACAAATATTTGTTGTTGTTGTTGTTATGTGCCGTCAAGTCAGACCCAACTCATAGCGACCCCTCCTTGGGTTGCTGAGACAGTATCACTATGGAAGTAGATTGCCCCATCTTCCTTCAGAGGAGTGACTGGTGGGTTTGAATCGCCAGCCTCTGGTTAGCAGTCAAGTGCCTTAGGCACTACGCTACCAGAGCTCCAGCACAAATATTTAGCAAATACTAAAACAATAGCAACAAAGGAAGTGATAACTGGATTAATAAACAAAACAAACTCAGCATAGAAAATTATATGGAACAAAGAAATTGACACCATGAAAAAGCACATAACAAAAATAACAGCAACAAATTCATATTTGCTGATAATTACATATCTGGTAAGGGACTTATCTCTAAGATTTATATTAAACTCCAAAGCCTCAACAGCAAAGGGATTAACAATCCAATTGAAAATGGGCAGAAGATATGAACAGACACTTCACCAAGGAGGATATTCAGGGGGCTAGCTAATACATGAAGAGACACCCACAATCACTGGCCATCAGAGAGATGTAAATCAAAACAACAGTGAGATACCGTCTCACCCAGCACTGAGGGCAAGGTTCAACGAGACAGAAAACAACAAATGCTGGCAGGGATGTGGAGAGATTGGGACACTCATCTACTGCTGGTGGGACTGTGAAGTGATATAAACACTGTGGAAAGCAATATGGTGATTCCTTAGAAAGCTGGAATTAGAGATACTGTTTGACCCAACAATCCTATGACTAGGTGTATATCCTAGAGAGGTAAGAGCCCGGACAAGAACAGATACATGCACACTCATGTTCATCACAGCATTATTTATAATAGCAAAAAGATGGAAATAACCTATATGTCCATCAGAAGAGTGGATGACCAAACTATGGTACATACACAAAATGGAATGCTATGCAGCACTAAGGAATAATGCAGAGTCTGCAAAACATTGCATAATATGGATGAACTTGGAGGACATTATGCTGAGTGAAATAAGTCACTCACAGAAGGACAAATATAGTATTAGTTTGTTGTCAAGGAAAGGTTTATATATGGAAGGAAGCTTCCTTTGTTGGTTGCCAGGGGTGGGAAGGGATGGAACATTGCAAAAAAAAAAAAAAGAATTGACCTATGTCACTTTAGTTTTGTGTATTTCACTGTACATAAACTATATGTCAATAAAATGCATTAAACAAAACAAAACAAAAAAAACCTGAAACCGGGGACATCAAGCTCTATTGGCATAACATACTATACAAAACATTGTTCCACCTACTACTTTGG